CCACAGTAGATCTGAAAAGGCAGATGAAAGAACCAGTGACAGACAGACAATGGGAATTATACGGCCAGAAAGCAACAGAAAGACAGAAATGAATAGAACTGCAGATACCTGCAGGAGAGAAAGGAGTTACAAAAACACTTGATACTCCAATAAGAGGAGAATCAGGACAAGGGGGTAGAGGTAGTTTCAAAATCGTGGTTAAATTTCAACTAAAGAAGCAAGAAGCTCAGTAAAGACCAAAAAAAAAAAAAAAAGAGTGATCTATACCTACACTCATACGTCATGTAAGACAATTGTTATAAACAGTGACTTACCATGTTCATGATATCAAGACACATAAAACCATAAAACTTCAAAGTCAACAAAGCAACTGAAATTGTACACTTAAAAAAGTCTAAGTGAGGGCTGGAGATGGCTCCCCAGGTAACATCCCTCACTGAGCAACCCGACAGACTGATCCAATCTCAGCTCAGCCCACAGCACATCATGCATACTCAGGTCTGCACAATCTTGTCCCACTCCACAACAATGAAACTTAAAAAAGAAGAAGAGATAAAAACATTTGAGTTACATGAACTATGAATGGCAAGATGATGGATGTGAATACCACCATATAAATAAGTATAGTAAATGTAAACTGGGCTGGGTGTGGTGGCCCACACCTTTAATCTCAGCACTCGGGAGGCAGAGGCAGGCGGATCTCTGTGAGTTCGAGGCCAGCCTAGTCTAAAAAGCAAATTCCAGGATAGCCAAGGCTACACAGAGAAATACTATTTTGAAAAACCAAAGACAAAAAAGGAAATGGACTAAAGAACCCAATCAAATGCTAAAGGCTACCAGGCTACCTTTTTAAAGAGACATGACATCGGTAAGAAACACACTTCATAGAGTCAAAGGTTTGTACAACTAGGTGTGAAGTCCCAGGAGGAAACAGCACAGCAGGCTTGTTGTTTAAAAATCACAAGAAACAAGGGTATTTTCTATCACAAGAACAGACAGGAGGGCATGTGCTACCATAAGAGATAGAGAAATAGTCCATAATCATAAGGTAGTCAGTAACTTAGGAAGAACAATAATGACAAGTATATACACACCTAATAAAAGCTCCAAATGAGAGACACCTTGTCTAGGCCCCGGGGGAGGGGGAGGTCGAATCTTGGTCCTGCCTCCTCAATGAGGTGATGAGACAGACACAACTGACTTAGCCAAGTGGCAAATCTTAGGCAGGGAAGCAGGAAGGAGGGGAAGGAGGGGAGACATGAGCTGCTAAAACAGAACAAAGATGGCAGAGAACAACTTTACAGAAATGAAACAATTTACTTCAGCAGGTGAACAGACAGACTCTGGCATGTACATACAATCTACTGCTACTCAGGAATAAAAGCAAACAATGACACAGCACAGCTGAATCTCACAGTCACCGATTCAAAGGGCACATACCACACTGACAGTGTTAATATTGAAAGTGATTTACCCTAATACATTTACCATTTTGACAACTTTAAAGTTATTTATTGCTGTGTCACCTTGAAACCAACACAGTACTAGGGCCAGTTACCACAGCTCCTCTGGCAATGTGGACAGCCTCCTCCCCTTTCCAACTGGGTCTGACCACACCTCTTTGACCCCTCTGCACTTCTTCCCCAAAAATAACCATCGCTCTGTAAGCCTCTCTTCCTTAATGTCCCTTGAGCAATCCTAATTTGACAACTGTTGGTCACTGTTTACTTTTATGCTAAATACACACAGTTCCTTAAACCTTTTCAGCCACTTGTATCTTGAAAATGCCTTGGATGCTGCCACACTGTAGTCATTACTAAGACTAAGCATAAAAATAACACCCTGGTACTAATTTCAAAGAAAAGCAATAAGTCCCCTTTAAATCATCACTCCATGGATGAACACTGACCTAACCTAGAATTTAAATGGAATGGGAAGGAAGCCACCCACTCCGGGCCAAGCCAGGGGCCGGCCACACAGAGTCAATAACAAGGCTTGCTATTTTCAAGTCTGGCTTTTTCCGGTGCCACTAAAAACAGCTCTAACTTAAGCTCCAATGCACTCTGGGCTAAGGAGAACATGCGAAGAAATAAGAGCCACATTTCAACACTAGATTCCTTCTCTACACAACACATCTCCCTCTTATTCATTCACATGTTTTAATGTGGCTTTGAAAGGTTATTTCCTTGGCTATTTAGATACAAACAGGTCAAAACTGAAATTGTTAAGTATTAGTGGATATTCCATTATTTCTACCTTTAGTTTGTTGTAAACAAACAAATGTCTATTTTAATTTTAAAAAAAGAGAGAGAATAACCCTTACCTCAAGAGATCAACATGAAATGGACATAAATTCAATGACACATGGCAGAAAGAGAAGCATCTCTAATTTCCAGTTCTTCATACTACACAGTATTCTCAACAGACACTGAATAGTTTCATGATCTTATGGTTGATGACTTACTACAAAAACAACTACAAACACATTGTATGTTTCGTGTCTAACAGAGAAAGTTCTGAAGAACCAAGTATCTGTCAGAAACTGAGAGGAAGTATCTTTCTTAGAAAAAAATTGAAAAATACAGATCATACATGCATACACACACACACACACGCACGCACGTGCACACACACCTTCCTCTCACACACACTCATACATACACTCTTTCACACATACACACACTTTGTCTCACATATACCTTTTCTCACACATGTACACACACCACACACTTTCCTCTCACACACACTCATGCACACACTCTTTCACATACACACACACATGCACACCACACACACACACACACACACACAACAACTACTCAGATATAGCTTCCTTAATGTTAGCCCCAAGGCTTACCTGCATGCATCAACTCTGCAGCCTCAGACCTTGCTCACAACTAGCATCAGGCCCAAGAAATATTAAAAGTCATTTTTTAAAAGGCAGAATTGGTGGCTCTTAGAGTTTAATCTGCTTCTCTGACACAGCAAGTGCTTAGACCTCAATTACTGTGCAGTTGCATGTCACTCAACCAGGGTATGATCTGAGAAATGACCCATTTTGTCAGCACATACACAAGCCTAGATGATTCAGCCCACTGTACACATGTAGGCTCTATGGCAGCTGTGGCACCTGGACTACAAACCCATGTATCATTGCCTGTACTGAATACTGCTGGCAACTGGAACACAATGGTAACAGCTACACTGTTACTACATGATAGAAAAATTTCACTTCATTATTCCTGGTGTATACGTAGCTCAACACTTGCTGAACTTACTTTATGAAGTACATGGCTGCACTTGTATTTTTAAAATAAAAATCAGTTACTGTGCACAGTAAGCAACCAGCCTAGGAATAGCCTGGTTTCTACACATGGAAGAATCATGCTCACTGAGCAGATAGGGGGACAAAGTAAAACTGAAGTAATGCAAGAGCTGGAAAGATGGCTCAGTGGGTAGAAGCATTGGTCACCAAGCCCAACGTCCTACGTCTGATTCCTGGTGCAAGGGGTGAACCAAACCCCACAGGGTGTCCTCTGGCCTCCACACATGCACACACACATACAGTAAGTAAACCCCACAGGGTGTCCTCTGGCCTCCACACATGCACACACACATACAGTAAGTAAACCTCACAGGGTGTCCTCTGGCTTCCACACATGCACACACACATACAGTAAGTAAACCCCACAGGGTGTCCTCTGGCCTCCACACATGCACACACACATACAGTAAGTAAACCTCACAGGGTGTCCTCTGGCCTCCACACATGCACACACACATACAGTAAGTAAATAAGCCAAACATTTTTTTAAATCAAGAAAAACGCCTTCATCTATCAACCAAACTATGTATGTAAATGTAATAAGGAAACTTCATACACTAATTTAAATAAATAAATAGATAGATAGATAAAAATAGCTCACCTAGTCACTAATTTTATGCCTGTTATCAACTTAATATCTAAAGAACAAATATTATGAAGAACATACATATTACTTACTTGCTTAAAGGATTATTTTCGTTATTTTAAAAAATATATATGTGTGTGTGTGTGTGTGTCCATATATATGTCTGTAAGTACGGGTACCCATGGAGGCCAGATGTATCAGACCCCTGGGTGCTGGAGTTTCAAGTGGTTGTAAGTTGTCTGACATGGGTGTCGAGAACTGAACTTGGGTCCTCTGGAAGAGCAGTAAGTACTTTTAAACACCAAGCCATCTCTCTGGCACTGTAAAGTTATTTTGCATCACTAGGGAAGGGCAGGAAAGGAAGGAAAGCTCCCAACTCATTTCAAAAATACAGAAGCCAAAATTCTATTAGGATTACTAACAAATTAAATCAATAATACTGTGACAATTACACAAGGAGATCCAGAAGCATGTTGAAATGTACCAAAACAGTTATCTGACCTAATCCATTCCTACAGCACCTCAAAGCTAATAAGAAATAAAATAAACCATCCACAATAAGGGTATCCACTACAACAGCAAATTTTAATACAATTGCCATGTGTGTGAGAAAAAAAAGAGAACAACTTCTAAAATTAATATGCACATGTAACTCCATTTTTACTGGATGTGAGATTAGTGAAAACTATTTGGTAGGACACAGGAGAGCACTGTGGAAGCCGGCAGGAATACAGGGCCTGCCACTTGTTCAGGGTACCACAACTAGGGATACATTTGACCCCATAATCATTACAAATGAGCTATTTCTCAGTGTCCATGTCTTCAGACTCATCGACACTAAACTTGGTGAAGGCCCACTTCTCTGAGATGTCTTCAGGTGGCCAGGGAACTTGAACCTGGCTCTACACAGAGCTTTGATCCTGTGTCCTTATTCTGCAGCCTGGGGTAGCCTGCAGTCAGAACACAATGACCTGGCCAATGTGAACCCTGGTCACTGTGCCCCAGGACTTTCCAAAGGTACCTCACATACCTGTCCGGAGCCTAGACTGGGGACTGCATTGAGATCATGGACTTGAATAACTGCCAGAAAACTATCTTCAAGGTCCCTTAGGACAGCCCATATGGGCATCAGGCTGTACACACTACCTAGAAGCCTGCAGTTTGCAATCACTGCACACCAGGCCCTCATGGGGAAAGGGACTTGGTCAGCTTAACTGGCTGCAAAGTGATTTCCATTATTTTTAAATGGATGAAAGGCTTCAAAGGTAAATATCCTTTAAGAAAAAAATCCCTAAAACTTTGAAAAAGAAAAATACTGAGGAGATTTGGCAAAATATTAGACAATTGGCATAACAAAAGATGAAGACATCATTAGATGAGAGAATAAACAAATGTAAGTACAGCAGTCCCAACACCTGTAGGCTGCACCAGTCAGAACCTGAGGCAGAGCAAGCAGCTGGAAGCCAGAAGCAAAGCACACTAGAAAGGAGTGACAGGGAAAATGAAGAGCCACAAGCCTATCTGAAGGACTCTGGAAAATTCTAGGCTTGGGGTCAGTTGAGAAGACCCAGGGGCCACCACTAAGCATGGCTACAGTGCTGACAGGAGAACACAGATGTCCAACTTAAGCAGTGTGGAAGACACTGGGGCTCTTGGTCAACCAGAGCAGAGACCCTGTTAACCCTGATGCCATCTCTGAAGACCAGAAAAGGCCTCACCATAAGAACCGCATCCCAGAGGAAGACCTCATTTCCACCCACCCTAACAAAGCCAGAAGGCAACTCAGAGGCGGTAAGTTGGCAGGGGTAGCTGTTAAGTCTTGCTCTGACTTAATGCTGGAAAATACCCAGGATTTTCACAAGTAGTTGGGCAGCTTATCTCATACTTACATTATGCACCAGAAGTGTAATGTATCTAGAGATACACTAATTAACAAAAGCTCACCAGTTATTAAAATTATGAAGTTCCTGAAAAGATATGTAAACAAGACTTTAAAAAAATATAAAAACAACACTTCTGGATACCAAGACTCCATTTCATAAAAGTAGCTGCTTTTATAAAAAGAGTTAGCGTAAGTAACCATGAGAACCCTCACAGTGCAACATCTATCCTTACCAAGTCCAAGATGACCAGGCATAACTGAGCGGCACAGAACCAAAACCAATGCTGTGGAGGAACACAAAATAATCTGGAGTCCCAAAACACACCAGCCACAATGTTGATTATTAAAACAACCCTTAGTGCCAAAGCAAAACAAACAAAAACCAGAAAGAACAAACTCCTCTAAATAAACCAAAACTAGACATACATTAAAAAACAAAACAAACAAAAATCAGGATACTAAGGCCCACAGTCAGAGACTGAGAAGACTAGTCAATAGACCCTGACCTAGAAATGGTCAGGCCAACCTAGGGCCTGCCAGGATAGAACACCACTGCCCATAGTCACAAGGAGCTTCTTGTGCATTCACAGAAGGTTGTCATCACTGAGAATTAATATCAGACAGCATGATGAAAATGAACTATCATTTACATATTTTACAAATACACTGTTATATGACTTTTTAAAGTAAAAAAATCAAATTAGTGGGAGTGGAGAGTCACCTCAGTAGTTAAGAGTACTCACTACTCTTGACCTAGGTTCAGTTACCAACAACCACATGGAAGCTTACAACTGTCAGTAACTCCACTTCCAGGGGGATCCAATACCTTTCCTAGAAAATGTATATACATGCTTGCAAACAAGCAACACACACACAAACAGACATGCACTCACAAACATTAAGGAACCAAGTTAGCAACTACAAAGACCCACTAGCAGAGTGGCATATTTATGGAAGGTAATTATTTACAGGGAGTTTTAGATACACCTGCATATATGACGTCTGAGAAGCCACATGACTCAGCTATGTCCAACCATCAAGCTGATCAACAAATCCCCAGTAGAAAATTCTTAGGTTGAAAGATAATACTTATATAAGAAAAATCACCTGTTTTGACATTTTCCTGGTGCCCTGTATATTTAAATTACTTACTAGAACTCCAGTTAAAATTCTTAAAAATAAGTTAGTTTCCAGATATTCCTGAATAACCAAATAATTTGGCATCTGAAGTACCTTCCAAAATGCCACTGAGAATGCTGCAGGAAAAAACAAACCAAACTAGAAAGTGCTCTCAGTGCCAACTTAACTAACTGTAACAGAGAAATGGCTCAACTCTCTGCCTCATATATGTTCTCTTTGAATTTTAAAAGCATTTATTCTAAAACTTAGTATCTTTATTATTGCTCAGCACCCATGCATGGATGCCTCCTCGGCAAAGCCCTTTACCTCCTTCATTCTTCAAGACTCACAGAGATCACATTCAGAGGCTTTCATTTGTGTTTTATTTTAGTGCTTGTCTGTTGCAGATTTCTTCTAGGTCTAACTTTTTTCTCTGTCTCTAGGTAGCACAAAGGAAATTTCCAGGCTTTGACTTGCAGGAAACACTGGGTGTCCATTGTTGGCATAAAACCATTACAATCAGTCTCAAGACATAGCACAGCATCACAGACAAGAATACTGCTTTATTTCACTATTTTACAGACAAGAACTAAAAGCAAGCCATATTCTGGCCTCTGAAAAGAATATTACAATGTTATTACTTTCATCTCACTTTCTAAGCTTAAACCAGGGAAATGTTTTAAAGAGAAAGTATGTAGTGTATATACAATATTACCAAATGGTTCCTTTAGTTTATTTTTCTGAAGTTCCCGTAAGAAAAGTAACTACTTTGAAAAATAGAGAGGAGCTGATGATCACCCTTGACTGAACACTGGTTTAAAAATACTGGTTTCTCCAAGGGCTCCGAAGAAGGTTCTGTGGGTCAGAGTGTTTGTTGTTCAAGCATGACATCCCACATCAAATCCCCAGCATCCATGTAAGAAGCTGGGTATGGTTGGATATGTGCGCCCTATAGCCCCAGTGCTACGCAGGACAGAGACAGGAGGATGGCTGTGGCTTGTTGGCCACCTGCCTCATTCTAGGTCAAGTGACACCCTGACTCAAGGGAGCAAAGCAGAGAGTGATACAGCAGAATAGCCTATGTCTTCCCTGGACCGCTACACCCGTGGACTCCACTCACACCTGAACACATGTGAAAATACACTATATACATGTACACAAACATTTTCCAGTATATTCAAGAATCTCACTAAAGCCACAATATGATCTCTAAATGCAAACTCTTTATGGTTTAGATTATGGGTCTTAGTTTAAAAAGTAACAGGACTCTGTTTGTGACTATCGCTTTATGAGAATTTCATATGGAGAGGTGCAAAAATTTAAACTTCTCTATGCTGCATCAGTATTCACTCCTAAGCTCATGTGAACACGTATAAGAAAATTAATTATGTTATTATGATGGTACTGCATCCCACATTTTAGGATACCAAGAAGACAAAAAATTCTATACACCTGTTACATCATTTTTTAAAAACTGGTTTTATTTATAAGAATGATCACACAGAAATTCATTAAAATTCTAAGAATTATATTATTTAACAGTTCAGTTCACTGAAATTCAATGTAACAAAGATTAAGCAATTTAACAAGCATGCATATTTATTTAGTTCATGTAAATCCATACTTCTGAGGTCTCCTAAGTTCTATCATTATAAAGAAGAAAAATCCTAAGTTTATATACTTTCTGTCAAAAGTAGCACAGAAATTTGTTTTGTGCTTCTAATGAGAACTCATAAAACATATTTCTTTTGATTTCTATTTATTTCCTAGCCTTAAAAAATCCTTCCTGGGGCTATATTTTGCTAAAAACAAACAAACAAAAAACAACAAACTGGTCCCTTACATCAGAGTTCACAGTCTCTTACTGTGGTCTGCAGATCTTTTATCTGCACTGTATTAACAAAGCTTCAGAAACTAGACAACAGGAGGTACGGACAGTGGAGGAAAGGCCCAGAAGAGCTATGTGTCCAGAGGGAAAGGCAAAGCATTCGTTTTCCCCAGAAATGCTCTACGGCAAAGAAAACGCTGAAGAACACGAACATTTCCCAAGTTAACTTTGGGCTCGACTCAGCCCACCACACAAACTAACAGTCTAGTAACACACAAGAAATCAGATCAAAACATCAACATTCCCCCCCAAACCACAACAACTTAGAGAAAAAAATCCCTCAAGCATGCTCACACAGAATTGCTGCAATGATTTTACCAGATGTTGGTGGGGACAGGCACCACGGAGTTAGCAAGGACAGCCCCATCAACACCAGCTAGGCCAGTGCTCTCAGGATCCCAAGGGTTTGGGAAAATGCAAATGCTACATATCTAACTAGCACCTCACAGAACAATTACCAAGTCAAAACACCCAGCAGGTTCCTAGTAGGTTTTGGAAAATGCTGACCATCAATGTTTTAAAAGACACTTTCCCCATCTGCTCCATAAGTGCTTTACACTCTAAACAGTAGTTCTATATTCTTCATCTATCTCTTTAGAGACATTTAAAGACGTATTCATCTATGTGTTTTAGCTGCATGTATGTGTGTGCATCGTGTGCATGCTTGCTACCCTCAGAGATCCAACGAGGGCATCAGATACCCTGGAACTAGAGTCATGGCTGTGAACTACCATATGGGTGCTGGGACTTGAACCCGGGACTCTGCAAGACTACCAAGTGCTCGTAACCACTGAGCCTTCTTTCCAGTCCCATCATCTTTTTTCATATAAGAAAAATAACAAGTTATTGGACTCTGCTCAAGAAAATGACAATGGGACACTAAATCTGAGCTTACTTCTGTTGCATTGTCACTCTAATACTTGTTACAGGCAATCTGTGAGGTCTGGATTATAACTTTGGACTTGCAGCTTAAAAAAATTAAAACCTTTCTTGATAGTCATGCTTCCATCTACCCATAATCTTATCAATATCATTTTACAGATATTTTTGTTTTTTTTCTTTCAAAGGATGTTTGAAGAGTTTACAAATTGTATCTTAATTTCAAATCTGTGTTTATAATTCTCTCCTATCACACATTCACTTTCTCCCTCTAGGTAAATATTATTTAGTCTCATCTGGCCCATATTTACAATGCAGTAGCAGTAATAGTAACTAAAAAGTTTCCTCTCATATACAGAATAAGCCATGTTCATAACCAACCCCTTAAATCCTTCCACAAAATAATGATTTTCATTATTTCCAGACAAGGGTTTCCACCACAAAAAAAAACCTTCA